GGGGCAGCGCCCCAACCCCCTGATCGGCCCTGCTCTGTGAGTAACAGGGGGCAGCGCCCCAACCCCCTGATCGGCCCTGCTCTGTGAGTAACAGGGGGCAGCGCCCCAACCCCCTGATCGGCCCTGCTCTGTGAGTAACAGGGGGCAGCGCCCCAACCCCCTGATCGGCCCTGCTCTGTGAGTAACAGGGGGCAGCGCCCCAACCCCCTGATCGGCCCTGCTCTGTGAGTAACAGGGGGCAGCGCCCCAACCCCCTGATCGGCCCTGCTCTGTGAGTAACAGGGGGCAGCGCCCCAACCCCCTGATCGGCCCTGCTCTGTGAGTAACAGGGGGCAGCGCCCCAACCCCCTGATCGGCCCTGCTCTGTGAGTAACAGGGGGCAGCGCCCCAACCCCCTGATCGGCCCTGCTCTGTGAGTAACAGGGGGCAGCGCCCCAACCCCCTGATCGGCCCTGCTCTGTGAGTAACAGGGGGCAGCGCCCCAACCCCCTGATCGGCCCTGCTCTGTGAGTAACAGGGGGCAGCGCCCCAACCCCCTGATCGGCCCTGCTCTGTGCGTGACGGGGGTGGCGCCGCAACCTCCCAATCCGCCCTGCTCTGTGCATGACAGGGCGCGGCACCCCAACTCCCCAATCGGCCCTGCTCTGAGCCAGACCAGGAGCTGCACCTAGGGATTGGGCCTGCCCTCTGCCACCCGGGAGCAGGCCTAAGCCAGCAGGTCGTTATCTCTCGAGGGGTCCCAGACTGCGAGAGGGCACAGGCTGGGCTGAGGGACCCCCCTCCCCCCCCCGAGTGCACAAATTTTTGTGTACCGGGCCTCTAGTCCTATATAATAAAACCCTAATATGCAAATCAACTGAACGGAGGAATAACTGGTCACTATGATGCGCACTGACCTCCAGGGGGCAGATACTCAACACAGGAGCTGCTTCCTGGTGGTCAGTGTGCTCCCACAGGGGCAGCACCGCTCAACCAGAAGCCGGGCTTGCGGCTGGCAGGCTTGTGACAATGGCGGGAGCCTCTCCCACCACCTCTGCTGCAGGCGAGCAGTAAAGAGCAAGGGGTCCCAGACTGCAAGAGGGCATAGGCTGGACTGAGGGATCCTCCTCCCCCAGTGCACAAATGTTGTGCACCAGGCCTCTAGTAAGTGATAACAGAGCAGCTAAAGATGTCTCATCTCTAACTTATCCAATACTCTTAAAAGACATTCATAAAAAACCAGAAGTGATATAATTACTCTCACCAGGGTGAAATAAAACCATAACAATGCTTGGGAGAGTTTAAGCATTGAAGTTCTAAAAGATAACACCTTTAAGTCAAAGTTTATAATCTCCCTCCTGAATGGTTCTGAAAATATGAAGATAATTCTATTATATATGTTAATAGTCTCTTAATTGCCACATAAAATAAGTGAACATTTTATAGAATATTCAAAATTTTTAAAAATAGACACTCAAAGCCATAAACTCCTCTCTTCTCTTTTCCTTCTGAGTCTCAATCACCTGCAATGGTGCTCCATGATAGCTGCCATAAAGATAGACACAATAAGCAAATAAGCAAATAAATAAGTTAAATTTTACCTTTTCCAGTTTACGCAATTTTCCAGTTGCTAAAAACTCATCAATCTTTTCAGCAATTTTTGTTCCAACTCCGGGCTACATAAAAAAATTAAAAACACAGAAGTCATATAAATGTAATGTTTTCCAAATCTCTAAAAAATAAAGTATAAAATTAGAAATTAAAAACAAATGATCATCATATGACCAGTTTTGAAACAAAGAAATTGAGCCTCAGTAAAAAATATAAAATACTTAAATGATTTGACAAAAGAGAAACCCTAGCAAAACAATTCTAAATGACTTTTTAAAAATTAACGTCTGTGCCTGGCTGGTGTGGCTCAGTGGTTGAGCATTGACCTATGAACCAGGAAAAGACGGTTCAATTCCTGGTCAGGGCACATGCCCGGGTTGCGGACTTGATCCCCAGTCGGGGGAGTGCAGGAGGCAGCCGATCAATGTCTCTCTCTCTCATGGATGTTTCTATCTCCCTATCCCTCTCCCCTCTTCTCTAAAATCAATAAAAACGTATTTTTTAAAAAAGGGGGGAAACTGCTCAGGTTTCTCATTTTCTATGTCAGAAGATACTGACCCAAAGCAATTTAGAGCCGGGCTATTTTTTATAACTAATATTAAGGAGTATAAGGCAAAATACTTATTCTGAAAATCTCAGATTTCTAGAATTATGGAGAAGCACTCATATGTATCAGAAAGTAGGTCTGTTCAAAATAACAGTGAAAAAATAATAATAGTGAAATGGAATAAAAATGAGATTTTCATATTAAGTCCAATCTTATGCAAAAGGAATTTTGGGTACTTCTGTGTTCTTTTTAGGGATATACCATAACTGAGATTTGGAATGAAGTGCATCAAAGATGACAGATGTTTGCCTTTAATAAATGATCAGGCTATTTGCAATTAACATAAAAAGGGAAATTCAATGGTGATTAAAGGGGAACAGAATGGGAGCAGAAGTGGCTTTTGAGGTTTAACACTGGGTCAGTTCGACAAGATAGAAACTTAGAATTAAAGTCTAATGTATTTATAACTTGCATGGCTAGTCTATTTGGGGAGGATGTATTGAAGTGGAGAACTATTATGAACACAAAGGATTTAAAACCTAGACACCAGAGCATGATTTGTATTGAGTAATAAATTCAAGTTGAAGATGTGGTACATGACTAAAGTGGATAATCTGTCACTTAGTCAAAAAGTAAAAGATTTATGGTAATGTTAAGACTCTGGCCCTAACCGGTTTGGCTCAGCGGATAGAGCGTTGGCCTGCGGACTCAAGGGTCCCAGGTTCGATTCCAGTCAAGGGCATGTACCTTGGTTGCGGGCACATCCCCAGTAGGGGGCATGCAAGAGGCAGCTGATGGATGTTTCTCTCTCATCGATGTTTCTAACTCTCTATCCCTCTCCCCTCCTCTCTGTAAAAAATCAATAAAAAATATATTTAAAAAAACTCTGAAAGATGAAAATATAAGAACAGTTATAGTTTACATTCTAAAGGCTCTCATGAGAAAGTTAAGGACAATAAAATATTAATACCTAAATTCTACAGGACTTTGAAAACACACAGATAAAGAACAACAGAAGAAAGTGATAACTGTCAGTATCTAGACCAGTGATGGCGAACCTATGACACGCGTGTCAGAGGTGACATGCGAACTCATTTTTTTGGTTGATTTTTCTTTGTTAAATGGCATTTAAATATATAAAATAAATATCAAAAATAGAAGTCTTTGTTTTACTATGGTTGCAAATATCAAAAAATTTCTATATGTGACACGGCACCAGAGTTAAGTTAGGGTTTTTCAAAATGCTGACACACCGAGCTCAAAAGGTTCGCCATCACTGATCTAGACTAATCAAAAGCCATGTCAGTTTGACATCTTTAAGAAAAAATGAATAAGCCATGGCCAGTGTGGCTCAGTTGGTTGGAGCATCATCCCATATATCGAAAGGTTGCAGATTCCATTCTTGATCAGGACACATACCCAGGTTGAAGGTTCCATCCCCACTTGGGGCATGTACAGGAGGCCACCAATCAATGTTTCTCTCTCACATCAATGTTCTCTTTCTCTCTCTCCTCCCCTTCTCCACCTCTAAGATCAATAACCATATCCTCGAGTGAGGGTTTAAAAAAATAATAAAATAACAAATGAATAAGGTATGGTTCTTAATTTTTAAGAACTTAGAATCTTTTAGTGAGATTTATATGGGAGAATAATCTTATTATCATTAGGTAAACTTTCCCAGGATACTATTAACATTACTATTACAAATTACCAAGGAGGCAACCTTCTAGAAATTGTGACACTGCTAGCATACAGGGCTTTATGGAAATTAGAGAGGACAGGGCTAAATGCCATAATATACAAAGGGGTTTAATCGTGTGCTTATTAACAGGTAAGATCTCTTTGGCAACACTAACTCATATAAGTTCCTATACGTGGGGATCAGAAAAAGGTAGCTGGGGACCAGATATGCTGGTACCACTCAGTCTCCATACTCTCCTTCAGGACTATGCTCAAGCTGAAAATGAGTGAGAACATGCATAAATGGAGAGAGTAGAGAAAAAAAAATTTAATTACACGTTTAAAAATTTTTAAACTCATCCCTCTCCCAATCAAAACACTTTGAGCTTGAAGTATGCTTGAAGCAAAATAAATATTATTCCAATAAGTCAGTACAGTGAAATTTGCCTATGTGGGCCAAATTTAGTTTATGGAAGCCCACCAAATTCGTATATGTGTAAATTCTTCAGTCAACTTGCTTACTAAACTTACCAGTTTCTTAGCTTCTGCTCCACTCTTTATTTTGTGTGGGTACTTTGCTATCACAGATGCTGCTTTTCTATTAAAAAAATAAATAGAAATCCAGTAAGGTCTTAATTTTTCTTAAACTGGAATACACATACAAGCAAATACGCAGCTTAAACTTTCACCAAGATCATTCATTTTCCACATCTGTAAAACTTATAAAAAAAACACCACACAGATTAGCTGAAACCACATACCTCTCTTTTAGAGATATATCTTGAAAATCCTCACAATTGAGGCCTCAAAATTACAACTAAATTACAGAACAACCATAAAAAAGAACCAGTCAGAAATGAAGGATACACTAACTGAAATGAAGAATAATTTACAGGGAATCAATAGTATAGTAGATGAAGCCAAAAATCGAAACAGCAATTTGGAATATAAGGAAGCAGAAAATACCCAATCAGAACAGCAAAATGAAGAAAGAATCCAAAACGCGAGGACAGTGTAAGCAGCCTCTGGGGCAGCTTCACGCACACCAACATTTGTGTCAGGGGGTGCCAGCAGAAGAGAGAGAGAGAGCAAGAAGTTGAAAACCTATTTGAAAAAATGACAGAAAACTTCCCTGACCCGGTGAAGAAAATAGACATGGAAGTCCAGGAAGCACAGAGAGTCCCAAATAAGATAAACACAAAGATGCCCACACCCAGACACATCACAATTAAGATGCCAAAAGTTAACGTTAAAGAGAGAATCATAAGAGCAGCAAGAGAAAAGCAGTTAGTTACCAACAAGGGAGCTCCTGTAAGACGGTCAGCTAATTTCTCAACAGAGACTTGGCAGGCCAGAAGGGAGTGGCAAGAAATATTCAAAGTGATGAAAGGCAAGGACCTCCTCTACCCAGCAAAGCTATCAATTAGAATCGAAGGGCAAGACTAAACAGTTCCTCTCTGAAGCCTGCTGTGACTCAAATGATAGGGTTGAAAATATCTCCTGGCTGCTACGTCATCAAATGTGTGGATGACAGGACCATTACTTTATATAGGAAGCCATAGGAGGTAAAGGGGAGAGTGTAATCCTTTCTAAATTATGCTGGCTGGGGAGGAAAGGAGGAAGTTGAGTTCGGCTTTGGAAAGGTAAAGATTAAGGGGCTATAGACGTAAAAATCTGAAGAAAAGCCCAGTGCGATCCATATTTGGAGTCCCTGACATAACCAGTATAGGAAGCCACCAAGAATGGTAAGAACTGCCGAGAGAGTGAGAGGAGAGAGTCTCCGAGGGCAGATCGCTAGGCACTGCCAACATGAACATGGAAGGCAGAAGAGGTGCAAGGATGGAAGGCTGTGCCGCCACGGAAGTCGGGGGTAAGACATGAGTAGAAGGAGCTAGTAGTGAATGTCACTGAGAATCCCGTAAGATGAGATGTAGGTGAGGGCATTTTCAGCGGGTAGGCAGAATGGAAATCATCCCGCCATGAGATAAGAAAAGACTAGGGAGCAGGAAGGCCAGGCCAGGGACACAGATCACTCAGGAAGGGTAACTGTCAGCCCTGACCGGTTTGGCTCAGTGGATAGAGCATCGGGCTGCGGACTGAAGGGTCCCGGGTTCGATTCCGGTCAAGGGCATGTACCTTGGTTGCGGGCACATCCCCAGTGGGAGGTGTGCAGGAGGCAGCTGATCGATGTTTCTAGCTCTCTATCCCTCTCCCTTCCTCTCTGTAAAAAGTCAATAAAAAATTTTTTAAAAAAAGAAGGGTAATTGTCAAGTGGGAGAGAGATAAGGTCCGAGTTAGAGGGAAGTGAAGACGATCGCTTTGCTTTTGCTTTTGCTTTTAAGAGCGGAGGGACTAGGGCGTGTGTACAGGCGAAGGGTCAGAAGCAAGTGGCATAACGTGTAGGCTCAGGCCCCCGGCGCGATGAACAAGGATGGGGTCCAAAGAGGGGACAGGACAAGACACAGCCCAACCGGAGGGTAACACGTGTCCCCTCGAACCACATCTATTTCACAGCACAGTCCTCACGTACGTGAAAAGCAGACTGCATCTTCAGTAACTCGTGTCTAACGACAGGAAATCAGCCCGTGTTCCGTCCGAACTGGACTGAATGGACCTCGCAGAGCTCTGCCCAGGTTCCCCCAGAAATACGGCAGTCGGGCCCCAGCAGTCGCGCCTGCAGCCCTGCTGCTTTCCTCCTCTTCCTCCCCCCGCAGATGGCCCACACACACGCGGGCCCCCGCCCTCCGACGGCCCGCACCCCGGAAGGCAAGTCCGGCCCACCTGTAAGCGTTGTATTTGTGGATCGCCTGGTTGACGTTCTTCTCGAAGTTTGCGAGCTCTGAAAAGGCAACAAGAGGCTCGGGTGAACACGAGCCACGAGTCCACAGACGAGAACTGAGCTTCCCACGAGGGGAAGTCGCCGCCTTTAACCTTCAAGGGCGGGGACCCTCCACGGCTCCGCGGGCCACGCCCAGCAGCCCGCGAGCGGCGACAGGGGCCC